TGGTCCTTTTGATTCAGTTGACAGTTTTGACTTTTCCACTCTATACTACACTTCCGAACAATCTTATCAAACAAAAGTTTTCCTATTTAATGAAAGGTGTCAGACCGCCATATCAAAATTCCTATCTATTCAACCAATTTTTTTAATTTTCACAGCTTTCTAGATATGTTACCTTAAGTTTAACTTCATAGAAACCTGGTTTATCCGGAATTGTACACGTATCACCTTTCTACAGCCAATTTTCAACCGATGTTTAAAGTCTTGTAGTGAAATATCAACTTTCCGAACGTAACTACTGCTAAAAATAACCCCTGGTTTTCTAGAAATCTTAAATAAGTAAACTATGGAGTGCATTAATCCTCCATTTTTAATGCAAACTCATGGACACATAAATTTTGACTCAAAATATATTTATTTCACCAAAAGTTTCATTTCTGCAAATTTGTTGGTTAGTTTAGGTAAAAAATGACATCAAAAGCACACTTTTTTGTCAGGGAAGGGCTACTTTTATATAGTTCTAAATTGGAGTTAGTGAATTGGTGGTCTGACACCTAAATGGTAGTTTGCACAATCTGATTGCAAATTTATTTGCTGCAACTCATATACAGCCTTTTTCTTTAATGAGAAAGGTAAATATGATAGATATACTTACTGTATGTGTGGTGAGATGGTTAATGCTGTAAATGTTCTTCATGACAACATTTATGTAAGTTTCGGAAATAAAATTTATCGATAGGTTGTAGGTATTCCTATGGGAACCAATAGTGCCCTATAATAGCACACTTGTTCCTGTACTATTATGAATAACAGTGTATGGCCAAACTCAATAAAACCCGTCTACATTCCATTTCATTGATATATTTAACAACACTTACCGTTATCTTGATGATATTTTTTCGTAAAATAATCAAGAATTATCTCAATATACTGCCGAAATTTACCTAAAGGAACATACTTTGAATAAATCAAATATGAACAGCAATAACTGTCCTTTCCTAGATTTTGATATTTCGGTTTAACACAAAAAACTGTACTCGAAAAATTATGACAAAATCCACGATTTTTCTTTCCCTATTGTTCATTTTCCTTTTTTGGACGGTGATGTTCGTTTGGCACCCTCTTATGGTGTTTATATATCCCAACTCGTTCGCTATGCCCGTGTCTGTACTGACTTTTGGAATTTCAATGATTGTAATCTATGTATTACTAAGTTAAATTATTAAGTCAGGGATTTTGTTACCACAAATTAATTAAAACCTTTACTAAATTCTTCCATAGATACAAAGATTTGGTTTGGAAGTTTGGCTGTACCTTAACAAAACTTATTTTAAACGGAATGGCACATCCTAATTTTTACGGTGATTTTGTTTACTGAAAATTTTAATACGATCCGGGCAAACTTTCATTTAAATAAACTGATTCTGAAAGGTTACCAATTTAAGACTGTAATTAGGTCTTTGAATATTGTTTTTATTGGTATAAATATTGATTTTGTTATCAGTAAATTAAAACCATTCTGTATATCAGTGGTCGTTGTTGGTTCATGTCTGTCATATTTGTTTTTCTTAAATTGTTTTGTTATGAAGTAGGCCGTTAGTTTTCAGAATTGAATTGTTTCATATTTTTCATGTCGGGGCCTTTTATAGCCAACTAAACGGTATGGGTTTTTCTCATTGCTGAAGCCGTGTCTTTTGTCTTTTTGTTAGTTGTTTTTGTGCTCTTTGTAGATCCGAAGAATCAAGCCCTTTTAACTGATTTTTACAGTTTGTTCTTATGTTGTACTGTTACATCGCAGTCCCAGGTTAGGGGAGAATTGAGCGCGAACAAAAATGTTTAATCCCGCCAAATTCTAAATGTGCCTGTCTAAAGCCAGGAGCCTGTAATTCAGCGTTTTTTTTTTAAATCAAAAACCTATCTAAACTGACCAAACCCCTATTGCTCTGACAGGTTAAACAACTGACCAAACCCTCTTGCTCCTGACAATTTCAACAACTGAACTGACCAAACCCTCTTGCTCTGGACCGGTTAAACAACTGACCAAACGCTCGTTCTCCTGACAGGTTAAACAACTGACCAAACGCTCGCTCTCCTGACAGGTAAAACAACCGACCAAACGCTCTTTATCCTGACAGGTTAAACAACAGTTACTTACCAAATGCCCTTGCTCCTTACAGGTTAAACAACTGACCAAACCCTCTTGTCCTTGACAGGTTAAACAACTGACCAAACTCTCTTGCTCCTGACAGGTTAAACAACTGATCAAACGCTCTTGCTCCTGACAGGTTAAACAACTGACCAAACTCACTCTCTTGCTCCTGACAGGTTAAACAACTGACAAAACCCTGTTGCTCCTGACAGGTTAAACAACTAACCAAACGCTCTTGCTCCTGACAGGTTAAACATCTGATCAAACACTCTTGCTCCTGGCAGGTTAAACAACTGACCAAACCCTATTATTTCTGACAGGTTAAAGAACTGACCAAAGCTCCTGTCAGGTTAAACAACTGACCAAACCCTCTTGCTCATGGCAGGTTAAACAACTGACCAAACTCTTTTCCTCCTGACAGGTTAAATAACTGACCAAACTCTCTTGCATCGGACAGGTTAAACAAATGGTACCCTTATGTTACTTCAATGCTAAACATTTTTAAATGTTATAGAAAATACACAGCCTTTCTCCTTGTACTCTTATATTTGTCAGTAATGTATCTAATATATAGGAGATTACTACAAGCAGTGCTAGCATATGATTTCCTAAAAACAAAGTTTTTAAATAAGATATGTAAAACAAGTACAAATATGAACCTATTCGAGTAGGGTGCGCTTGACACTAGTGACTCAGCACGCGAGGTTTTTTGGATTGTAAAGGTTTTTTTGGCCTTTATTAAAAAAATAAACGCTAGCATGACATGGACAAGCAAGTGAGTATTCTACGTTTATAAAGTTTTAACGAAAATTTCTGAAATAAAGTCTATGGATTTTCTGTAAAATTCTTGGCTTAATTTGCCACAAAAATCCCCATTTTCTTTTGAACGCAATAAACAAATAAATATTGTTGCTGTTAACGAGGACGTTTCCCTATGGCATATGTACAAAATCAGTGTCATGGCTTCCATTGGGGCAATGAGGCAGCTGCTCCACTGCTAACTTTACGGACATTTAGACGCTGCAAGGAACCCATACTATATAGAAATAAGAAGTTGTGGTATGAGTGCCAATGAGACAACTCTCCATCCAAGTCAGTGTGTAAAAAGTAAACAACTATAGGTCAAAGTACGGCCTTCAACACGGAACCTTGACTCACACCGAACAGCAAGCTATAAAAGGGCCCAAAAAGTATACCAAATATAGTCATTCCATTACTCATAAGTATATCACTTTACAAAAAAAAATTTTCAAGCAGTCACTGAACCATGAAAATGAAGTCAAGTACAATGGACATATGACAGACAAAAACTTCGTAACATAAGGTATCTGTACACAAGGTATGAAGCATCCAGGTGTTCTATATATAAAGTTTTAAACTAAAAAACAATCGGCATTCTCATGGGAACCAACTGTGCTCCTCTTCTTGTCGACTGTTTCAACAACAACAATACCCTCCCCTTTTCCCCGAATGTGACCTACCTAATTAGACTTATCACCGGGTTTGTACTAATATGAGCAACACGAAGGGTGCCACATATGGAGCAGGATCTGCTTACCCTTCTGGAGCACCTGAGATCACCCCGGTTTTTGGTGGGGTTCGTGTTGCTCAGTCTTTGGTTTTCTATGTTGTGTTTTGTGTGCTGTTGTCTGTCCGTTGGTCTTTTTCTTTTTTAGCCATGTCGTTGTCAGTTTATTTTCGACTTATGAGTTTGAATGTCCCTTTAGGATCTTTCACCTCTCTTTTTTACACAGATAGTTTACGCCGTCGCCGCCGCCAGATTGTAATACCGATGTTTTGCATTCTGCAACTTTTGTTGCAGGCGAGACGAAAATCGATGTCTTCCATCATACAGTTGACTTCTCGATCCTTAGCAAACATATTCCTCTGACGGAGTAAACGAATAAGTCCAACTTCTTCAAAAAATATCACCGCAGATACACATATCTTGTTTTTGATAATTCAATAATTTAATAATTTTAACGTATTTGTAAAATAGGAGGTTAGAACTGCTATTTTTCAAGTTTTATTTACAATTTGCTGTGCTTACTATCAAGTTTATTTTGGTATGAAGGAAGTACATACTGTTGTTCTATACCCATACATGTCCGGTCAAAATAAGGACGTTTAATCCGGATCGGATGCATTGTACAGTGAGAGTGACACGTTAAAGAACCGTTGCATTATTTTTGCAGTCGAACATATTAATTATAATCTCTTTTCCCAGTGGCCGTCCGAATTATTTTCCCTTCATATCGGTCGTCATTGTGAAATAAAATCCGGTTCCTTGTAGAGGGATATCGCTGTCTCTTTAAACAAGCACACACAGACTATGGTATAGTGAAACATTAACATCCCACTCCCACTCTTTTAAAGCTGAAACGGTGACTCTAAAGCATCAAATCGTTTGCCTCACTAGAAATAAGCTGTAAGGTACGACACTGAAAATTGCACGTCTCTTTTATTCAGTATTTTTGCTGTTATAACATTATTGCATTTTGAGAATTTCGTACACAGGCCTACAGAAGGGGTCATTAACCAAACTATTTCAAAATAGCAATGAACATACAGCATGCACAACTTATATCACCGATATATATTTATGGTATTATTGCAAAGAAAAATATGTACATATATTTTTGCGTCTTTTCGTAAATAAATCATAAAAGAAGATCGATGTAAAAACTTTACAATGAAAAAAGAATTTGTCATCATTTATCACAAGGGAAATAACCTCATCTGACTTTATCGAATAAAAATATTCTAATAATACTAGTTATCCCTCTTTAAACGATCAAATCCACTAACACGTATACCTGTTACACATGTCTCCACTGCTGTTTAATAAGAAGTCTCAGAAGAAGAATCATTTTAATGTAATAAAACTATAACAATATAAATGCATTAAAGCAGAAGCCAGTAACAAGACTTCTGTATCACAGAAAAAGCCTATTAAATAACAGTCATCTTTGGGTAACTAGGCCTAACAATATGTTTGATGAAACATTCAATTTGATATTTGATAAGTACAACGTCTCTAGAGACCCAGTCGATCACCAACAGTTATACAAAATAGGAATAATATTGTCTTTGACGACACAGACAATCCGTTGATGTTACTTATTTCAGAAAATTTTAATCGAGATAACAATGTTGTCAATGACAAAAAGGAAAAGAGATTTTTATTACGGTTTTTTCGCCAATTTCATATGTGATTATTATTTTTATTTCTTAGAATTCACCTATTAAAAAAAATGCTGGTTCTTTGGAACAACAATACAATTTAAATCAATAAAATGAACAGTTTAAAATATTATCATGAAAAAGCACCGACTAGACTACAAAGGTTGCCAATCATGGCATTAAAATATACTTCAGTAATTCAATGTATTGGTACTTCATCCGACCAAACATTTTTGATGACAGTCACAACATAATTACTTACGACTAAAAAGAAGAATATAAATGTTCTCAATTTTCAAATATCTTAAACTTAACTGTAATATCAAGCATAATTGTATACTTATATAAATACTATTGCAGTTAACTATTGCAAACTAAAAGTGAACGAGTATACATGTAACTATCAGACGGTCCGGCTAGCACTTTGTAGTAATTAAACTACGGTCGAGACAACCACTAATGTCAGGACTTCACGCAAGTCGAACTTCAGTTCTTCTCACTTGACAGCACGCTTCTCGTTGCTATATTCGACCAATCACGCCTTAATGTCTAAGAAAGGTCAAATATATTAACACTCTTCAGACATCCTTGAATGGACGCTTGTGACTTTAAGGAGGTGCTGATTTCATGCTTTTGGATTTCACTCTTATAGGTGGAGTACCTACAGGGCTGACTTTCTTTTTTCCAATACCTTTCTTCTTTGCCTTCGGGCTCATCTGTGTTTCTGCTTCCTTATCCGACGGTCTTTCTCTTGATTCCCGAGATTTGAATGATGACTGATTATCATATGTGATGGTGCATTTCTGTCTCATATTTTCCCACGCTTTCGGAAATCCTTTGGTTATCTTATTGTCCGAGCAATCCAGTTTCTTAAGTGCTGGCATCTTGCATATTCTCTCTGGTAAAACTTCGATAATGTTGTCCGAAATGTCTAAAAGTTCAAGATTTTTCATTTTATCCAAATCATTTGGCAATGACTTCAAATCATTACAACCAACTTCAAGCACTTTTAGTCGGTATAGGTATGGAAATTCAATGGGCATAGCATCTATGTGATTCTTTGAGACATTGAGTCTTAACAGTGATGCAAAAACATCAATTTGGTCTTTTGGAAAATTCACCAACTCATTGTTTGACAAATCAAGCAAAATCAATTTGTTCATATCGCCAAAATTATCCGGTAGTAAGCTCATCTTGTTGAAAGACATGTCTAAGTGATTCAACGACACCAGTTGTACAACAGTAGGCGGGAATTCCGTAATACCATTGTTTGAAACAGTTAGTTTTTGCAACTTGATCATGGTTCCAATCTTTGAGGGTACAGCTGTCAACTCGTTTTGGTTTGCATTTACCGATTCTAGAGATTTAAGCTTGCATAAGTCCGTTAAACTCCTGATTGAATTTTCCGATACGTCCAAATGTTTCAAGCACCTCATGTTAAATACCGCTGGTGGGATTTCTTCCATGCTTAATTTGGATAGTGTAAGTGATGTAATGTTTCGTAAATGATCCTTGTCGCCAATTACAACCAATGCTGAACGTAGATCTGATGGATTTATTGTCAAAGGGTTATCTGACAAGTCCAAAGATGTCAAAGTTTTAGGTACGTTCAACTCTGTTATTCCATTGCTTGCAGCATTTAATGAGCGTAGTTGATATAGAAAGTCAATCGATCTTGGTATCGCAGCGACCTCGTTATTATTTAGGTTAAAAGTTTCAAGGTTTCTAAGTTTGCGCAGATCGTGCGGGATGGCTGTAAGTTTGTTGTTGGATATATCCAAGAAAGTGAGAACCTGTTCTTGTCCTAGAGTTTCAGGCAACATAAGCAGTTTATTACCGGCAACATTTAAAGATTTCATTGTTTTCACATTTCCTACTGAATCTGGGAGTTCTCTGATTTTATTCCAAGAGATATCCAGCGTTACTAAAGATTTCATATGATCGATTTCAACCGGAATCACTTCAACTTGGTTCTTTGAAATGTTTAAAGATTCAAGCTGTTTTAAATAAACAGCAAATTTCATCGAATTTAAATTGTTATGTGACACGTCTAAAATGTTAAGACACGGTAACTCTCGGATACCCTCTGGTAAGTACTCAACCTGGTTGTTTTGTGCATGAAACACGCGCAACTTTTTCAGTTTATTCATATCATGTGGTAGTAATGGTATCTCGTTGTTCCCAATATTGAGAGTGTCCAGAGCATATCCTAAGTTACAAATCTCTTCTGGTAGATTTTTAATATTGTTATTGCTCAAATCCAAAAAATGGAGGAATTTGATGCCACCTAATTGTGCTGGTAGCTCTTGTAGAGAATTGTTTGACAAATCAAGCCAAGTCAGCCTCTGAAGTTTGTCAATGTTTTCTGGTATGTATGATATTCCATTATTAGAGAGAATCATTTTTTGGATATTCGGCTTCTTCACGGCTGCTGGTGGCATTTCCGTCAGTCTGTTGTCTGAAAGATTGATCTCTGCCGTCATTTCATACACACCCTTTTTGAACGATTTAATAAGATTACCAGAAACATCCACGTATGTAGCCGGTGACTTGCCAATATTTTTTGGAAGAGCTCTGATTCTATTATTAGATGCCAGTAATTTATTAAGTCCTGTGGCTTTATGTATTGATGGTGGTAACTTCTTGATGTCATTATTTTCAATTTTTAAGATTTGTAATTTCTTCAATTTGGCCACGGAGCCCGGAAAAGCAGTCAAAGCATTATTTTCAATGTCTATGTATTCCAAATTTTCGAGCGCTGAAACTGCCTTCGGTAATCTCTTCATACGGTTATTTTCCGCTGTAAAGCGTATGGTCAGCTGACTCAGTTCTTCATTGTTATAAATTTCTATTGGCAAAGACTTGTAGTTACAATTACCAAATTTAAGATGGACTTTCTTAGTATCACCAACTCGTTTCACATGCTTCTTCAAAGGATCGGGTAAGGAAATGATCTTACTTCCTGGTCCTATAGCAGGAGGCGGTTTCTCGTCCTTTTTCTTTCTTCTTGCACTCATTTTAACCGTTTAAGAAATTCAGCTATTCATCATTGTTTCAGGCTAAAATCTGAAAAATACACATCAGACTTTTAATATAATTGAGAATTAAAATCGCCTTAAATAGTAAGTATATCTGTTGGTAATTTGCCAAACATTAAAGAATCAAATTAAATTTACGCCTGTTTTATTCAGTGTGAGAATTAATCGAACCTTTCTTTAAATTTAAAAGGGTAGCTTATAAACGGTAAACATTAAAAATTCTCAAATGTTATGTTAATCTTATTTAATACTTTGCAGATATCTTTTCATATCATATTTTATAGTCCGTAATAAAACTTGGGGGTACAGCAAAGTATACTTTTTGACTAATGAACCTTCCACTTAATGAACTTTTGGTATACCAATCGGTTCCCTATTTATATTTGAAAGACTGTAGTGTAACATAACGACCTGTGTACACCTTGTTTAGAATGCAAACACTTAAACAACTTTAGATTCTATGTCGTTGGCTTTTCTTCTATATGAACTTATGTTCTCGAAAATATATATATATATATCCTGCCATTTCGCTCAAATGTCCATTGCCGATATATATATATATATATGTGCAATTTTTTTTTGCTATTTGACTCCAGGGGCAAACCAGTACTTCGTGTATATTGAAGACGATCAAAACGTTAATACACAAGAGATGGAAGAGTATTCACCCAAATGAAACTTTATTCCAAGTTCAAAATTTAAAAAAAGCCATTTTTTTTTTTTAGAAAAATGTACATCCCCGATGATAACGCTCCGAAACTGCGATTTGTAGAGATTTGAACAGGAAATTGAAAATGGCACTGAAGTAGGTCTGTGTCAACGGGTAGAGCAGATAATTTGTTCCAAAGCAGACACCCACAACAGAAAAAAGAATGGAAACCATACAAAGAAACAAAACAAACAATAAGAATAAAACAAAAAAAATCACGTATGATTTATTTGAGAGTAGATGTTATAAATTAAGCGTTTGAAGGTAGTCCTTAAAAGCAAAGATGGAATTTATCATAGTTATAAATATCAAGATGTTTAGAATTGTGAATCTGTAAGGAGAAAATTATTTGTCCCTAAAAGTATTTCAAAACATCCAAATATATGCTTAAATTTATGTTTATACACCGTTAGCCAGATCAAATATTATAAAAAATGCAGGACATATACGTTCAACAAAAAGTAACTATTAAAAACATACATTTTATTTCGTTACAAAGCAAAATTTCAATTCCCATATACTAAATAGACGGGACTAAATAAATATATTTTCCAAAATATTATGGAATAGCAAACAACAAAAATGTTCATGAAACTAATTACTTGAAGTAACAGATCATTACATACGTATATTTTAACCATATTTCATGTTTGCTATGTAAAATCAAATATTTGCAGATCAATAAATATTTAAATTCCCATTTGTAGGTATTAATTTTACTTTATAAAAGTCAAAAAGCGGACACTTATATTGAGAGCAGCCTTTAAATCCGTATGTGTGTTGTTGCTATGAAGGCCCATAAACATTTAAATGACATTTTTATTTATTAGTTTAAACTTTCAATGAAATCATGTCTGTTGCATCTAATAATAGTATTTATACTATATATATACGAACTATTTAAATATGAAAAATTATAATTAGCTTTTTCTACAAATCATTATCATTGTTAACGTTTCTAAAAGATCGTAAAGTAACAAAAAAATGAACCATGACATAATTTTATTTTGATATGGCACTTTAAAAATCTGAAGTAGATTGAAATAATCTACTGATTATGGAGTGTTTTATCAGCAGATGTAATGTCAACTTCTCAGTTCAGTCACAGTCGTGCGCTTTATCCCGAATATAAATATGCATGAAATATTTACCGCTGTTCCGATATGATCAAACAGATAACGCTTTAGTAACTATTGTCTACCTTTCAGTTTTTATGAAAGTCGATTCGTTTCTTAAACACTGAAAAGGCGAACAGAGGATATTTCAGTAGCAGTTACTACTTTTGGGTGAGATGCTTCTCTATTATAGAGGAGGAGGCATAGAAAGACTAAGACCCATCATTTATTTGGTTTCTTTTTACACAGTTTTTGTTTTGCAAATTTAGACATGAGCAAAGGCCCAGAGTTCTCGAAAAGTGGTGGTCCAAGGGATTTTGCGAAGGACCGACACAATTTGGGCATTTTGATATAGAAATAATAGTGAGGACAAGCAGATTTCTTTAAAGAATCTTCACAGAAAAAAAGATTTCGCGAACTCTGAAGGCCTTAACGTTCTACGCCCTAATACAAATATGCTTACAAACGAAGGTTAAACCTAGGGATGTAATGTGATAAATCTATAATACGTTTTGATTTTTAAATTCTAGGAACTAAAACATGTGGCCTTATCATACATTCTCCTTTCGTATTTCTCTGATGTTTAAGATTACGACTAATAATGATTTTGTTAAACATATTTTATTGGTCACGTAAAGGATTATAAATTTTAAGACTAAAATTTCTCTCTGCAAAAAAGCATTTTACTCATGAACCGAACAGTCCGAATTACCATGTATCCAAGTGCACAATACTATCAACGGGTTGGTGCTTGAGTGGAAGTCAAGTACATTGTACATATGTGGTAAAGAAAAGTCAATAGTGTAGTTTCAGTGCAACACAAATATCGTGTCTAGTTTTATAAGTTTGGTCCAACGATTATTTATGTATCCCGATATAGAATATAAGCATATATTTTACTGACATAACTACCCACTTACGAATTGGTCAACAAAGTAATCATAATATTTACACGATTTTTTCCGAGCATCGAGAATTGACAAAGATCGCCTGATGCTTTAATAAGTTTGGTTTGGTTCCAAGAAGCTACTGTCCAGTGGCGGATCCAGAAGGGGGCGTATAGGACGAACGCACTCCCTTTGATTGGAACATATATAATTTGTTTGCATAAAATCGTCAAAAAAATGTTAGCCTCGCTCCGCTCGGAGATATTTATTTCGTTTTTAGGAGTTACCCCCCCCCCCCCCCTTTTACACAAATCCTGGATCCACCCTGCTGTCGCCTTTTGTCTGAGGTAACTTTAATAATTGTTGTAAATAAATTAAAACTTATCAGCTGTCCCTACGATATACAAACTATCCTTACAATACTGAAATTTAACTTGACCAACACAGACTGGAAGACAATATTAACCATATGAGCAACACGACGGGAACCACACGTGGAGCAGGATCTGCTTACCCTTCCGGAGCACCTGAGATCACCCCCGGTTTTTGGTGGGGTTCTTGTTGCTCAGTCTTCAGTTATCTATGTTGTGTCTTGTATACTGTTATTTTTCTTTTGGTCGTTTTTCTTTTTTTGCCAGTGCGTTGTCAGTTTATTTTCGACTTGCGTTTGAATGTCCTTTTTGGTATCTTTCTCCTCTCTTTATTATAGTTTGTCTTGTATTGTACTGGTCCAGTTAGTGATTTCAATTGCTTCAAAATTATAGGAAAACACAATGACATATGTTATATCCCATAGGCATTGCACTAGATTATCATACAAATATCATCCCATAAACATTGCACTAGAGCATTACTAGTATACAAATGTCATCCCATGGACATTGCACTAAAGCAAAATACAAATCTCATCCCATAGACATTGCACTAAAGCATTATCCAAATCTCATCCCATAGACATTGCACTAAAGCATTATACAAATCTCATCCCATAGACATTGCACTAAAGCATTATACAAATCTCATCCCATAGACATTGTACTAAAGCATTATACAAATCTCATCCCATGGACATTGCACTAAAGCATTATACAAATGTCATCCCATGGACATTGCACTAAAGCATTATACAAATCTCATCCCATAGACATTGCACTTAAGCATTATACAAATCTCATCCCATAGACATTGCACTAGAGCATTATACAAATCTCATCCCATGGACATTGCACTAAAGCATTATACAAATCTCATCCCATAGACATTGTACTGGAGCATTATACAAATCTCATCCCATAGACATTGCACTAGAGCATTATACGAATGTCATCCCATGGGCATTGTACTAGAGCATTATACAAATGTCCTCCCATAGACATTGCACTAGAGCATAATACAAGTGTCATCCCATAGACATTACTATAGAGCATTATACAAATGTCATCCCATGGACATTGCACTAGAGCATTATACAAATGTCATCCCATGGACATTGCACTAGAGCATTATTCAAATGTCACCCCACAGACATTGCACTAGAGCATTATACAAATGTCATCCCATAGATATTGCACAAGAGCATTATACAAAGTTCCCCCATAGACATTGCACTAGAACATTATACAAATGTCCTCCCTTTGTCATAGGTCAAGATTCAAATATAAGATAGTGACAAATCAATGGGGGAAATAATTTGTGATTATTCCACATTATGAATTGTTAAAAAAGTTGGCGTTTCTCCTCAAAATATGAAAATCATGTTTACTTAAGCTTAATAAATGATATGGTCTTACAAAAAAACGGGGCTAAAACACTTATTTCTAGAATCAGAATCACGAATAGGTCAAAATTCACCTGCACTAAAGAGCGTGTGCATCGTAAAATCAACAGTTTATCCATAACAACAAAGCTATAATTTGTCACAGTGGATTATAGAAATCAATTATTTCCTTCGATTTTCTGGAATTTACGATGATAAATCAAAAAGATAGTGTTCAAAAGGATTTAAATTTCAATATATAGATGGCTTTTCCTGTCTTTGATAATACTACATTGTGTCACTGTTAATGTTACCATGGCAACTGGAATCAATATTTGCAAACATTCTATTGTGATAAAACTTGAAATAGAAATTAGAATGTTTTGTATTCATTTTCGCTCACAATTGCATATTGCTTTTCTTGTTTCAATTGTGTGTTGTATTTTTCTTGTTTAATTTTGTTCCAGTTGTCAATGGACACACACATTTCATTTGTGATGTTAATAATAACATAATTTGCTTGTAAAGGAAACATTTTCAGCACTAGATAGTTGTTTTTGACTGCCAGCTATCTTTTTTAACATCGGACTATTGAAATATTTAGAAGGGAAAGTTGAGCCTATCCCTTATTGGACGCAAGCCCCCTTTTTGGATGCCAAGAGACGTTACTTATTTCTTCTTACTAAAAATTCTTCTTGAATATTAAACATTTCAGATATTTTGCATGCGTTGTGATACTTGAACAATGTATACAAAATGATTATCAATTCTATTCTGGGGTTTTTAAAAACATGTTCTAAATGTCACGGACACAATTGTCATACCTCTTGTAACAGGAAAGCTATAATGACACATGGTAAAGTATAGTTATCAATTGCATAAAACATGAAGTAACTTGTTAACATAAATTCCCTAGCTTGTGTGTTCTTTATTCAATTTGTTATGCCTGCAGCAGAACTTAATACTTTTAACCAGTTTTAGTCAGTCTTGACTTTCTCGAAACAAGATACCCCAAGGGTTGACTAAGGTATAGAAATATGGTCTTCTTTTTAAATTCGCAGACACGACCGGTCAGATTTGGGAGTTTAATCAGATGTCTCGTTTAGAGAGAGTGCCATGGTCTCTGCACGTTAAGAACCCTTGCAATAACTCTTTCAGGGACCCGTAGGTTGTCTGTGGCAAGGCTAAATTTCTGTAACCTCATTTTCCATCGGCAGTCCAAATTTCCCGCCCTTCATCTTGGTCCATCTACCTATCGCATTAATGTTATTCCTGAACACAATCAATCAATCAATGGAAATAAAAAAAAATCTAGTTTGAATTCTGTGGTGTTTTCCTGGAAAATTATAAAAAAAAATTAACAGGATATTTCGAGGCGGGAAGAATCCGGGGTGCTATGTGTTAGTCCCCTCCCCCCCCTTTTTTTGCAAAAAAATGTATTGAAAAAAATGAAAATGAAAGAAGACACTGAGATCGAATAGATATTCGTCAAGGTCCATACTGTTCATATAAAAACTAAAAACTATAGCATCCGTCATATCTTTGATTTATAATTGATTGATTGCTGGTGATTAACGCATGGCTATATCAGTTTTTATTGTCGGAGGCAGCTGGAATGTCCGTAAAGAATCACTGGCAATCTTAAGACAATTAAGATCGGAGTCGAACGCACCTTGCCTCGAGCGAAATTCCAACCCACATCCTCAGTATACAGATAGGCTATGAACTACTTGGACAACTAGGACACCGAGGCACCTTCTTTGATAAATAAAAAGAGCTACCGTAATGTCGATGCGTCTTAAGGGGTAGAAAAAGGGAAGGGACACATCCGGTAATCGCCTCATCTAAATTCGCATTTTTGAAAATCATATCAAAATTGTAAAAAATGCGAGGCAATAATTTTCTTTTCCATCAAATTCCTAGACCCTCACCAGGTTGTCTTCTTACCTTTTAATTGAATAAGCAATTAATCTGTTTGATAAATATCAGTAAAAAAGTTGCCAGGGACCTAACTCCACTTCTCTCGTGACCACTGCTAATTTGAGTATGTTGTAAATTTCCAATTAGTACAACTTTATCAATTACTTCTTTGTATAATCTGCGAAAGCTCGTTCATTTAATACTTTACGTGTGTATGAATAATTTAGATATAATTTCACGCAACTTAAAAACAACTTGATTTTCTGTATTCTGACATAATATGGACCGGATTAAATGGTATAGTTTTGATAATGGATAATAAATGACTTCGTTCTTTAAACTTTCTGTGTTATATTTAAATTCAAAACAAAATCAATCCAGTCTGTTCTTGTTAATATGCAAAGAGAATGTATAATGCTGAACACAATAATTTTAGATTGACTTTGTGTCAGGAATATCGTTAATTCTGTAAAGTAATGAGTATTTAGACAACAGTTTTCTATTGATGCTGAATAAAATATTTAATTGTGAAATTATAAGTAAATGTTTACTTACAATGTTCACGCGGGATCCCGGATTTTGATAAGTAAAGACAAAACTGAAATTTGCAGTCATATTTTTTAAGTTGTCACATGGCATTAACTAGTGATCTTCATAATAAAGTGGACCGTCACTCTAAATCAGCCAAATGATTCTACGTCCATCAATATTTCTTATATTCCCACGAAGTAAAACGGTTGAAAAGACAAAAATTAAATCTCTTATAGTCATCTCAGTACTTTGATTTTATCATTTAATTAGTCAACAAATGTAATTAAGATCTTAATCTCGTCCTATATCAAAGAATCATACATGTCACAACCTATTCAAATGTTGTGTACTGAGACCATCTTAACGACTCGTTAAAGTTATCAGACAAATTTTAGATGATTATATTTCAAAATCTTGAAGGTATTATCGACAATGACCATTACAATTTTAAAGGGTCAGTAGAGTTGCTATTATTGAACTTGCAAGAAATTTTAAAATATCAATGGAAAAAAGGAACCAAAAAAATAATTTGGGTAAAAATATACTCACTCAATTTATTGTTAATCCACATATAAAAGCTGATCATCTATTTTCCTATACCGCCATTAATACGGTAACTAGAGAAGCTACAGGCTGTCTCTAGGAAGGCCACATTAATGTGACGTCATGCATCAATATAAATACAGGTATTTCACAGGTTCACGTCGCCTGACACCTGTAAATTAAATGAAAAAATGAACTAACTATTTACAACTGTTAAAAGTTTCTATAATGAAGGGCTTATTAACTTGGTTAAAAGGATTTTATCTTCATTTCAATATTTGATTATTATTTGCCCTTAAAAAGCGCCTCAAAATTTACCTGTATTTGTTACACTTTGATCTCCTTAAATTTTATTCGACATATATCAATCCTTTCTCAAAATATTTTTGTAAGTCAGATTGGAAGTAAAAAATAAGATGAAAGCTGTAGTTGATTGATTTGTTAACGAACTGTGTCTGCGTGTCACATAGGATTGTTGAAATTAGCGGATTTGCCAAAAAAAATATCATATTCATTATTACATTTTGTAAAGCACTCAAAAACTTATGCGGGAGTCCGCTATTTATGTGTTGCTATATTCGATGGAGAATGTATGTCATAAAGTTGTCACATGTTTAGACGTATATATATATTATAATAAAAATAAAATTATGATTTGATGTGACGGCATGGTAACTACATTATCGTCCTTTAAGACGGACAAAACATAGCTGATCTGAAAGATATATCATCTTTCTTGCCATTATACATCATGTACTGTGTTACAGCCCTAGATAAAGCCAACGAGGAAAGGCATTACTCGACTAACGAAAGCTATATTTTATAGCCTAGTTGTAATAGTGGATCATAGTGGTCTAGGGCGCTGGACACAGTGCAGGCGGACTCGTTGCCACGATGTCACAGAAGCAAGGGTACAAATCCCGCTGAGGGAAGAACAAAAATTTGCGAATGCAAAATTACGGACCTTACATCGTTGGGCTAAACGACAGATATATATATATGTGATTGTCTTCTGTTTATTATTTTGAAAACTGTTGCTTGCCTGTTCGTCTTTTATGACTTTAATGGTTGACTTGGGTATATAAAAATATAGTCATCACTGGACTTTCCCCGTCCGTCAGTAAAACCATTGCCACAGTGGAACATCCATTTGTTTGGCTGTGTTTAATGTAAAAATGCACAGCCACGTTCGATTGAGGAGGGAACGTTAAATAAGATATTCCGCACAAGGAGAGTGTCATGCTTGTTGCACGTTAAAGACTCATTCCAACAACTCTCTCAGGTGTCCCTAAGTAGCATGTTGCAAGGCAAATATTTTGCGCCTATCCTCATTTTCCAGTGTCAGTCAAACTTTTGCACCCTACATCCAGGACGACATTTTATTTACTGTTAATTTGTTCTCGTTGTAAATACGCATGATTTTTTTTTATATTGGGTGACATAAAAGCAAGCAACGATGAATCAATCATCAGTCCTTTTCACTCAAGTTTGTCCATCACGATATTGTCTGACATTAGACTTTTGTTGTCTCATGGTATCTTCTCCCTTTACCCTTTTATAGACGGCTATAGTCGTTTTAGATAACGATGTTGTCATCGAATGCTGCCACTTCTAAAACTTCAAGGATTTTAAAACATTTTGCATTTGGTGTTTATTGTTACTGTGGGCATTGGTAGGTCCCCGAAAGCACTTACAAAAAAAACTTGATTAAAGCTGGATCAGAGAAAATAAAAGTGTTTAATTATTAAACTTCAACTTAAATTGGTGCATTTTGAAATAGTTATACTAATATCATTTTGGATACATCATTTAGTTAGTCTAAATTTTGTGGTTTCCTTCACCGTTTTTAAATGTGCCTGTCGAACATCAGAATCATGAAATCCAGTGGTTGTCGTTGGTTGTTGTCTGTCATAATTGTTTTTCGTTAATCGTTTTTAACATAGATCAGTGCTATTATATTTGGTCTCTTTCTAAACTGTAAAGCGCATGTTTCAGTCACTCATGTGTCATTTGAGATTTTCTCTTGTTTGGGCACTCTCTCAATTACCGATTGTTCTAACAAATGTTAACTTATACAAGTCTTGATATATATTTTGACCTTACAATGTTTCAACATTTTTTTTCGTTAATAATTATCATGCAGGCCAGACATTTTTTGCATGTTTGGTTAACCTTATACATAAAAGCGCTATTTAAAACAAATTTTGAAGTTAGCTCAATCTATATACGGATTCAGACAAAGGGACTTAAATTAGTTTCAATGTCAATATCTAAAACTGATCTACATGTATTCCATCGTATATATATATAAATACGGTTTTGGCAACCGTGAGAAAAACAAACTGTTTATAATGAATTGTAATGTGTATAACCTGTGCACTCCTACCATTCAAACGGTTTAAGGGATAAAATTAAAACTTGCTGTGAGAGAATATGTAATTTTTAAACATATCTTAATAAAATCTACACGATAACAATCTACTGACAATTCTGATGTGAATGTTTTAATAAAAGGTATTGTTATAGAACGTCTGTTTAGATGATTTAAAAAAATACACCAAAGAAGAAACCACCGTCTCAAAGGATATATAAACAACCCAATAATTGTAGATCATATCATAAAGGTATCTATATTGTAATCAAATTCATATAAATTGATAAACATACATGTTATTAAACATGTGACAGACAGCGGGATTTGTAAAAAGCTGAATATTGTCAAACTTTTGTAGTTAAAAGATGCAATAGATAAATAACGTGACTGTGCTTGATGTATAAATACGTAATCATGTCCTTCTTATAACCGTCGGAATGGGGACTTTTATCCAATTCCTCTATTAAAGATTCAAGATATTTTTGTTTGCATACTTTTTTATTTTGTTCTAAACGCTAATCTTTTATTGCGTAATAGCTACTGCACGAATTTCAGTTTGCATTTTATGTTTTCTTTTATATGCTTTGATTTGCTTATTATTAGCTACAATTTGCTGTGCTTTGATACCAGTATTTATACTTTGCATGATGTGCTTTCTGTTTTATGTGTTTTATTTCTTATGTTTATCATGTATATGTATATATATATGTCGGTTAAAAGCTCTACAGAGCTTATGTTGTATTTTTATATGTATACCCGACTTTGAATAAATCTTTTATGCTTTATGCAACGCTCTGTTCGCGTTTAAGAACCCCCTGCAATAACACCTTGTCCGTTGGTGGCCTTTTGCAAAGCAAAATTTCTTCCCCCAATCTATCATACCCTACTTTTCCAGTGGTAGACAAAGCTCATTATTCCCCGTTTGACACACTTAAAAGAACCTACCTTTAACATTGATTGTTGAATTTTTTTCGTCCTTAATATGTATGAAATGTTTGCCACTGGACATTAAGGAAACAACAATCAATCAAGTAAATTCAATCCTTAAAAGAGCATGGCCGATGGTATTTGCAGGCGAGACAATATACCAGATATTGTCGCAAAGTTCATTCCTTTTCACATTATATGTATACAATTTGTAAGGACAATTTGCTGTCCAGGTGTGAGTTTTATATGCTTTGGATATTACCCATCACAAATGAGTTTTTCAAATGATGCACAACTTATGTATAGCTGAAATTAACATGATGAATTACTGTGAATTAATTTCATATCTAATTGCATATACCTAACAACATAAAATTACTTCAGAGATAATCAAAATAATTGACATCTTTATTTGACTGTTGTCGGATTCATTGATTCTACAAGACATAAACTTCCAGTAAAAATGTCGTAAAGCAAAACCTGTATTACTAATTAGCCGCGTTATCAAAGCGCATAAAAGGAAATGTTTTACAGTTTATGGAAATTACAGCAGTCCACGGATCAATCTAGTTAATTGATAATTTGAATAAAAACTAGACGGAATCAATATAATTGTCAAACAGGAAACTTTCATTTAGCTTTGGAAATTTCACTTGACAATTGGTAAATAATAATTGAAAATTAAAATCAATATGATATATTTTAATGCATATGAATATTTGATGTGAATAAAAGGATATGTTGTTCGTACGTCAATAAAATAGCAACTCAACACAAAAACCAATAAACTTATAGGGGTAAATATGAAGACCTCAACATCTGATTGATTGACATAATCAAGTGGCAAGCATTTCATGTCGTATTCAGAAAGAGAACAAAATTATGGCGATCTGTCTGCAACAAAAACTCGTATATCCCCTTTAAAAAAAGACACGAAATTCTAGTTTCAGCACTTCCATAAATGTTTAAGAATTATAAGAATATTTTATTGTTTCAATTAGAATTAAAATTAGAAATTGTTCTGTATATCTGTATTTTTTTTTTTAATAATATATATTAAATTGCAAGTTTCAGTGACTATCCTTTTGTACTGGTAATTTATATCGAAGAAGATGAATCAGTTGGTAAATAAAATATATGAATAAAGCAACTTATTAACAAAAAAGGCATTGTTGAAACCAAACAACCGTTCTTTTCAAATTAAACGAATGAACCTTTTACTCTGAAATAATACCCATGTGTATTTATTCTTTACTTCACAACGGCTTGCACGAACAATTTTATATGACGTTAAACATCATACATTTATGATCAAATATCATAAAAGTAAATATTTGATA